AATGTTAGAGAAAGCTGAGAGACTAGCTGATATACGACTGAAAAAATATAATTTTTTATAAATCTTTTTATAAGTATATAAAAAATGTTTATTGAAAGTGAGATTGTTATCAAGCATAAAACCAAGATATTTAAATTCAGTAACGATTTCAATTTCTGTGTTCTCAATATTAATATGGTATTCAGATATGTCAAGGTTAGCATACTTGAAGGGAGTAGTTAGAATCATAGCCTTAGTTTTAGCAGAATTGAGTTTCAATTTATTTGTATTCAAGTAGGTTGTCATAGTTTCCAATGAAGTATTCATTTTACAAATTGCTTAGATTATTATTGGTAACGCAAAGTAGTGTATCATCAGCAAATAAATGTATGAAATCACAATTATGAGCAAAGCTTAATATATATCAGAAACAAGAGAGGTCCTAAGACACTTCCTTGTGGCACACCAAATTCATTTAATATAGGAGTCGATAAAGATACAGAACATAGGGCATACTTTTATGGGATTAGTCCTCACATGCAATTAAAGCCTTTTGTATGCAAAAAAGCAATTCGGATCATATTTAATGTTTCTTACCAAGAACACTGTCGTCCTTTATTTCAATAATTTAAAATTCTACCCTTGCCATGTATTTTCATATTCTACAATGTTTTAGAAATACACAAAAATAATACTAGGTACGTCAGAAATGCTGACTTTCATAATTACCCAACTCGAAGAGGTGCACAACTAAGGCCTCGATTTTACTGGATCTATCAGCTCGAAATTCACGCATTTTACATTCATACAATAAAATACCGACAGACAGAACTTGTTTGAGTTTCAAGGCTAGAGTTAAGCACTCCCTATTGGGACATTGTTTCTACTCCATCGAAGAATATTTGAATTGTGGGATATTAATCTTTTAATATGTTAGTTTTTGTTTTTAAATTTTAGAAATAACTATTTCAGATGTAATCAGTGCGTGTATTAACTGCAGCTATTGTTTTCTTATTAAACAGTTTTACTTGTCACTATTATACATTTTGTACTTAATGTGATGAAATAAACTTATCTATCTATACATTTTTGTTTCAGTGCATTCGTCTACCTGAAATTCGTGTGCATTTGGCTCGCAGTGATCGTGGCGGACTTCCTATTGGAATTTCGTTTCGAATTCCTCTGGCCGTTTTACCTCCTCCTCCGATCCGTATATGACTCTTTCAAATATCAGGGGCTGGCCTTTTCGATATTTTTCGTGTGCATTGCAGTAATGACCGACATGCTATGCTTCTTCTTCATACCAGTGCACTGGTTATTCTTTGCGGCGAGCACCTACGTGTGGGTGCAGTACGTATGGCACACAGATAAGGGCCTTTGCGCCCCCACGATGATCCTCTGGGTAATGTTCGTCTATCTGGAGGCTGCGATTCGGTTGCGCGACATCAAACACATGCCTGGCCACTTGGACCTGTGCAGGCCTTTCGCGGCGCACTGCATAGGCTATCCGGTGGTGACGCTCGGCTTCGGCTTCAAGTCATACGTCGGGTTCAGGATGAGGCAGCGGAAGCAGCAATTCGTCGCAAAGGATAACCTTTTTTACATGCAGCTGATGCAGCAGGCGTTGCCCGTGGACGAGTCCTCCACTGCGGAGCAGGTGGATGCTACTACGTCGACAGCTGTGGTGCCAGCGCAGCCCATACTGAATAATAATAATAAACTACCAAGTAGCAGGTGAGTGATTCTACAGTTTTATGACAGACTAGATTTAGAGTAGAGTCCTTTCATTTTCTAGTAGAAAGAAACGAATTAACGAAATGGAATTTGAGGAATTCAGTATAGAGAAAATTTGTGATTTAAAATAATTGATGATAATTTTAAAAAGGAAGTAAATGAACAACGGCATCATGAAAGGAACATCGACGAAGGGGTGTTCCTTGTACGCTGGCTGTATCGCCATATCAGTAAATAATATACAGATGTACATACAGATAAGTTAAAATTCATCATTAAAATGAAATAGATCTCGAAAAATTGTTGAAATAGGACTAAATTATTTCGGTTGGTAGCCAGTCGACTCGACGTGGGTGCTTTGTTCATTCACTCAAATCAACTACTCAAATCGGTGGTTCAAGCCTCAGGCTGAACGATCGATTTTCACTTGCTATCGTCCAGCCCGTGTCAGGAATCACACGTTAAAAGGTAAGACCTCGTTCGCACAAGTTTCGACTTCTGGGGTCTGTCGTTCGTAGGGGTGCGACAGCTGGTTAACAGAAAAACAGACAGATCGGGCGAATATTTACAGTTGTTCAGTGATATGAATTATTGATGGTTGAACGCAGAATACATTTTGTATATGATAAAATAACCAATGTTTTTTTTTTTACTTCAATAAACCGCATCAACCCTTTGGGTCATTAGCGGTGGAGTTGATAAATAACATTTATAACTTCCTAAGTAAATCTAAAGTATGTAAAAATGGAATGATTTTGTTACTATTATTATAGTCTAATATTTCTTTCAAGTTAGGGGATATCTTAAATGTGTCTCAGTTTGGAATACAGGACATTGCACTATAATATGTTTCACAGTTAGTTGAACTACACAAATATCACAAGTTGGTTTATTTTGTCCAGACAGCAGGTATTCGTGTGTGAGCTTGGCGGAGTTCTAGGCGGAGTCTGGTCATTGTCACTTGTTCTCTTCTTTTCATTAAATGATTTTGCCACGGTCCTAGGTTTGGTTTGACTTCTTGTAGTTTCGATTGTGAGGCCTGCCAATTAGTATTCCAAACGTTCTTCATCTTGTTTTTGATGTAGGATTTTATGTCTATCGAAGGAGTGTATTGCAGCGCAGCCTGGTTCGGGTTAATGATTGCATCTCGAGAATTTTTATCGGCCGATTCATTTCCAGTTATTCCAATGTTTTAACCAATGTTTTGAAAAGAGCGTATGAAATATTCAAATAGTCCTGAAAAGTGTAAGACTTTTTGAAAGTAAAAATAATTTTTTAGTCAACCTCACGGACTCAATAGAAATCACATAAATGATAGCCATAACCGTAGTATAAGTAGTAATAAATCTCGTGTAACTTCCGTTTATAGTAATTACCTGAATGTTAAGTCCCCAACCTTGGGTACAAAAATTAATAATGTTGAGAAAAATGAATTTACTGCGTCCGAGAGTAATGCTCCGAACCTTCTCTCATTTTGTCACCAAAACATTCAGTGCATTAGTAATAAGATTGTAATGTTAAACTATATTTTTGCTAATAAACAAAAATGAGACATTCTATTGCTAACAGAACACTGGCAGACTGAGACTCATCTTGACGTGCTAAAGCTGAAAGATTTTAGTATATGATCTTCTTTTTGTAGAAAGAATTCAATACATGGTAGTGTTGCTATTGATATCACACAAATTTGAAATTGAGTTAAAATTATTGCAAATGGTAAAGATAGGTGACTTGAGATACAAATTGGTTCTGGCCAGTCGGCTGTAAAAAGGTCTTGTACTTCTTGTTCTAAAATGAGGCACACATAAATTCATAAAGTACAACACCTCTATAGCATCCACATTGTTGTGCAGTAGTTTATACAGAAAAATTATTCCTGCAAGTTTTCTGCATAATTCAAGACTGTCAATATTGAATGTTATGGTAAGAGATTCAAATGGAATACATCTATCAGGATAGATACCATAAGATTTGAAGTAAATAAACTTCAGGAAACGACGTTAAACTTTTTCAATTAATGTATTATAGCAATTGTAGAATGGAGACCATAGAACAGAGCCATATTCTAATTTTGACCTTACGTAGGCTATATAAAGAGTCAATAGAGTAGATATGTTTGAAAAAGATCTACAATTGCGAACTATGAAGTCATAAACTCTCAATGCTTCACTTACTTTCGATCTAATGTGGTTGGAAAAAGACAAATTTTGAACAAAGTATACACCAAGATCTTCATGACAAGTGAAATGGTATCTACTCGATAATTGTACTCGATGACTGACATTTTCCTATTATTAGACACTACTTTACATTTGGATTCATTGAGATATAGTTTGTTTACTTCACACCAAGGCTGTATATTTTCTAACTGTCGTTGCAATTTATTACAGTCTTCGATAGTTTCGACAGGTAAATATATTTTCAAATCTTCTGCAAAAAATAACTTATTACAATCGACATAATTACTGAGGTCATTAATAAATAATAAGAACAGAAGTGGTCCTAGATTCGACCCCTGAGGTACTCCAGAAGAAGGATTGTAATAAAAAGAATCATAGTCGTTATAAGATACAAACTGCGTTGAACTAAGTAGGATTTAATGAAAAGTACTGCTGAATTATGGAAACCAAATTGGTGGAGTTTTTGTAGAAGTATCATGTGATCAAGTCGATCAAATGCTTTCGCAAAATCAGTATATATCACATCAACTTTTACACAGGCTATAAAAGTCTTCAATGAATTACCTGTCCATATACGTGAGTTGCCGGGCTATAGTTCATTCATCAATAGTTTAAAAGAACATCTGAGCCTCGAGGCACATGTCTGATACTTTGATACTATGAGCTTAGTAGTGGTTTACTAGTTTTTATGTTTCACTTGTCATGTTGAATGTATGTGAATCCCGAGACCAGCATTTTTGCTGATTAGGGAGAATAACAACATATTTTATATTTATAATGTCTTAACTATGTTGAACTGTACGCTGTTGTTATAATTTTAATTAAAAAAAAAAACTTGACCACGATTATCTAAGCCATCGCTAACATTTTGGGTCAATACAATTAAATTTGTAAATTTGTTATGGTGGATCTGTTTGACATAAATCCATGTTGTTGCGGAGATATGATATTATGAACTGAGGAATGTACGCGATTATAGATGACAATTTCGAGAAGTTTTGCAAAGTTCGATAGGATTGAAATAGGACGATAATTCCGAATATCGGATGGATACCCAGACTTAAAAATGGGACAAACTTGTGATATCTTCCATAATTCAGGAAAATTATTATTTTCATCTGAAAGATTGAAAAGTGTCAGTAAGGGATAGACCAATACACCGATGCAATCTTTCACAAAAAAGGACGGTAACTCAATCAGGACCAGAAGTGAACTTATTTTTTAGTTTACGTGCCGCAATCAAGATTTCCTGTTCGCTGATGTTTTCAAAGTTTATATTATTATAAAAA